TTGACCCTTCATATCCTTCTTTTTGATAACTTAACCCAAAGCCACATCACAAGCCAATAAAAGTCCTTATCAAAGAATTTAACAAGTTTTAGTTTGATCATGAATTTCCATTTTAAAAAAGAAAGAGAGAGAGAGAGAGAAAAAAAAAAAAGAGAGAAAAGAAAAGAAGGGAGAAAAGGGTGACCTAGCAAACTAAATGGTTCCTTGACTTGGAAAGTTGAAGATTCAATGATGAAAGACATTATTTCTCTATCCCAAACAGTCAAGATTGCCCTTTGCTTACCCTTTTTGGGCAAAAAAAAAAAGGCAATCATCCAAAGTTAGAAAAGCCAAGATGATTTTCTTGTTAACCCACATTAATGACCGGGGTTGTGAAGAGAGAAATGTGAGGGGAATAAATGAAGAAATTGATTTTGAACCTTTATCCTTTCTTTCATAATAGCCTAACCCCAAGCCATGTTACAAGCCTATACAAAGTTCTTATTCGAGGGTTTGGAACTTTCTTTGTCAAAGAACATTAAAAGGAAAAAAAAAGAAGAAAAGAAAAAGAAATCCTTTCTTTAGCAAGTCCAAGTCAAAGCTCGATGGTTTATGATCGGTCTTCTAAACATTGAAGGTTAGTTCATAGGAAGGAGATAGATTGGATTTGTCCACCTTGGCATGGAAGTAGACATTGTCTCATATGCTAAAGACTGGATTGGTGGAGTTATAAAGAAATAAATTCTTGAAGCAAATAGTTTATAGCTTGAATGCCTTTTAGCTTTGTTAAAATTATTGCATCAAAAGTTACGCAATTCAAAAATCATGTTTATCTCTTTCTATCCATTCATATTATCCATGCCTTGGCCTTCTTTGCCTTGTTTAGATTGGGATGCTGATTGGTTATAATGCTTTATTTCAGTTAATATAATTGCTGAAATCTTTTGACAAATCTACAAAATAAAAAAAATAAAAAAGAAGAAAAAAGATGAAAGTTGTGGAGAAAAGCAAAAACTTGATTCAATGGTCATGGTGCTTATCCTATGTTGTAATGATTTAAGAATTTTCCCCAGTGAACTAGAGATGCTCTCAAGTCACTGAACTTTATGCAAAGTATGTCATCGAGCCTATTAATGAATGCACAACACCAAGGACACTTGACTCTTGCCAAGTAAGGACATCCAATATGTTCAGGGAAGTTTCTTAACCTCTCTTCATTCTACCTTATCTTATATATAAAGATTACCTCACTTGCATTTGTTTCATGGTTGCGAATCTTTTAATCATTACTTTTATCTAGTTTTTTGGCTGCATTTTACACTCATTAGGCCCTAATACTCCACTCTTTTTTTTTGGTCATTCGACCATATTGATGCTGCACCTTTTCGGTCATTCGACCATATTGACACTCCACCTTTTTTTTTTTGGTCATTCGACCATACTAATGCTTTACTTTTTCAATCATTCAACCATACTGATACTATACTTTTTTGGTCATTCGACCATACTCATACTTTATTGTTTTGGTCATTCGACCATACTGATACTCTACTCCTTTCGATCATTTGACCATACTCATACTCTACTATTTCAGTCATTCGACCATAATGGTACTCTATTTCTTCCGGTCATTCGATCATACTGATACTTTACTCCTTTCAGTCATTCGACCATACTTATATTGTGTTGTTCCGGTCATTCGACCATACTAGTACTCTACTTTTTCCGGTCCTTCAACCATATCGATCCTCTACTTTTTTGGTTATTTGACCATACTCATACTCTATTGTTTCAATCATTCGACCATACTCATACTCTATTATTTCCGTCATTCGACCAAACTCATACTCTGCTGTTCTAATCATTCAACCATACTGGTACTCTACTTCTTTTGGTCATTCGACCATATACATACTGTACCTTTTCAGTCATTCGACCATACTGATATTCTACTCCTTTCGGTCATTCGACCATACTCATATTCTGTTGTTCTGGTCATTTGACCATAATGGTACTCTACTTCTTCCGGTCATTCAACCATACTTATACTTTACTTTTTCGGTCATTCGACCATACTCATACTATGCTCCCTTTGGTCATTCCACTATACTCATACTCTGTTGTTCCGGTCATTCAACCATACTGGTACTTTATTTCTTCTGGTCATTCGACCATACTGATACTCTGCTGTTCCGGTCATTCGACCATGTTGGTACTCAACTTCTTCTAGTCATTCAACCATACTCATACTGTACTTTTTCGATCATTCGACCATACTCATACTTTACTATTTCGATCATTCGACCATACTAATACTTTACTTTTTTGGTCATTCGACCGTTATGGTTATATAACCATCTTAATTCAACTTGCTCGGTCATTTGACCGTTGCAACCCAACTTGCTCGGTTGTTTGACCGTTGTTATCTCATTCGTTCGGTTTATCCGATCGTTGCGGTTTCTTAACCGTTTTTACTTTTTTTGTTCAGTTTATCTGATCGTTGCAGTTTCTTAACCATTTTTACTTTTCTTGTTGGGTTTATTCGATCGTTACGGTTTTTTAATTGTTTTTACTTTTCTCGTTTGGTTAATCCAATTGTTGTGATTTTCTAACCATTTTGTCTCTTATGTTCAGTTAATCCGATCGTTGCAATTTTTTAAATGTCTTCTCTCATTCGTTTGGTCAATCCGGTTATTGAGGTTTTTTAACCGTCTTCTCTCATTCATTCGATTAATCCGATCGGTGCGGTTTTGTAACCGTTTTATCTCATTCGTTCGATCAATTCGATCGTTGCTGTTTCCTAACTGTTTTTACTTGTTTGGTCATTCGACCAATTTTTACTTTACTTGATTAGTTGCTCAATTATGCTAAAAAAAAAAAAACCATAAAAAAATTTGAGTTATTCTTGTCTTTTTTTTTTCTTTTCTTTCTGTTAACAGAAAGAAAAGAAAAGAAAAGAAAAGAAAAGAAAATGGGGGCAACTATCATAACTTAAATTTTAATAGAATTTTATTTTTATTTTTATTTTAACTAATATGTTTTGTTTTTGTTTCCCTTGTTAGGTTCTGGAGCAAAAAGGGGGGTTTTTGTGAAGAAAATTGGAAAAGGGAGATGAAAGAAATTAAAACAAGGACTCAATTGAAGAAATCAAAAGTTGGAGGGGTGAAGTTCATTAAGACGAATTTACAAGTCCAGCCCATACCCAATATTGAGCCTAGCTCAATCCAACACCATCCCATTCCAATTTTAAGCCTCAAACCCAAACCCAAAACCCACAAAAACTCAAAGCCCAAAAACCTAAGCCCACCATTACCCAAAACCTAAAACCCAAAACTCAAAACCCAAAAGACCCAAAACCCAATGAAAAAACCAAACAAAAAATTAAAAAAAAAGGGTCTTCCCCTCTCTGCAACCCAAATTCCCTTTGCTCTGCTCCCCCTGCCCTGCACGCTTTTGCTCCCCCTTGCTTGCTACGCGCCGAGCCCAGACCCCTAGCCCTGCTACTTGCGCCCCTACTGCTGCACCCGAACATGCAGCCACCTGCAGCGGCCTGCACCCTCCTCTGCCCCGAGCCCAGATCAACTGCCTCGCACCCGAGCCTTGCCCCTGCACCAGCCCTGCGCCGAGCCCAGATCCCCTGCCTTGCACCCGAGTCTTGCTCCTGCGCCCGACCGTGCCTTCTGCGTCCATATCCCAGCAATTATACACCCTTACACGCTTGAGCCCACTTACAGCAATCATACCTCCCCTGCTCACCAAGCTAGGACCCCCTTTGCTGCACCGAGCCCTGCCCTTCCCGCCTGCGCCCCTGTTGCTGCGCCTCCTGCACTTTGCGTCCCAATCCCATGCCCTTGCCTCCTGCATGCTACAGCCATACAGAAAAAAACAGCCAATACCAGATAACATTGGCATCATTAGTGATTGACGAAGCAAGGCTTTTTCATTTTTATTTTATTTTGTTGTTTGGGTATATATATAGAGTAAAAAGCAGAGGTCTTTTGGGGGTTGATTTTTGGATTTGGTTTGATTTTTAAAGTTTTCTTTCGGTTTTTCTCTTCTGGGTTCTGGTTCTTTTCTGGGTTTCATTTCCTTCTTGTCATTGTGAAAAAAAAAAGAGAGAAGCAGAAGACAGAAGTCCGAAAGAGGGAGAGGCGTTTCTTTTGTTTTTCTTGGTTCTGGGGTTTTTATTTTTTTCCTTTCGCCTGGATTTGGTGTTGACGGCAGAGAAAGAAAAGAGGAGTATTCTGGTTAAAGCAGGAATTTCCCCTTTCCTAGGTAATTTTCTGGAATTGAGGGACTTTGAGAGGCCTGGTGAAGGTGATGAGTAGAGCCTGATCCCGTGGGTGGGGTTCCTCTGTTTAGAACTGGATCCATTTTTCTCTTGAAATCTCCGTTTTAGATTTGTTATTCCTCTATGATGTATTGTTCTGGTGATTGATGTTGAAAATCTATGTATAATCGTTGAGAAATGTACGATGGATTTGCTATTATGCTATGAATATTTGTGGAATCTGGATTTGAATGCATATTCTATAGAAATCTGTTTGGAATTAGATGAACCCTAGTTTTCTTGTTTTGTTTGCATGTTTAATCTGCTTTGTGTTTATTTTTTGTATTCGGGTCATGTTTTTGGGTAGGTAGATCCGATTTAATTTGGTATATAAAAAAAAAAAAAACTAAAAAACTAAGGGTAAAAATAAATAAAAAAATAAAATGATTAATTGGTTAGGATAATTAGTTTAAATGTGTGATTAATAAAATTAATTAATTTTAATTAAAGTGAATTAATTATGTTTATTGACCTTAATTTGAGGTAATTAAATTTATGGTTAAAACTCTTTTTTGGTCCTTGAACTATTGTATGGGCGCCCGATTTGGTCCCTAAACTAAAAAAATCCTTGATTTGGTCCTTACTGTTTAGCATTTTTACCCTGATTTGGTCCTTACTGTTTAACATTTTTATCTCGATTTGGTCTTTTCGTCAAATATCAACCTACATGTCTCGTTACTTGACAGGAAAATGATGACATGTAAAAGCATTTTGACACATAAGATGTACAGCGTGACAAAAAAATGAGATGACAAGAAAAAAATCTCGAAAAATTTCTTATTCCTTTCTTTTTTTTCTTCGTTTGTTTTTTCTTTTTCCTTTTCTTCTTCCTCTCCCTTTCCTTTAACCTTATGCAAACCCTAACTCCTAATATTAAATTTAAGGATAACACAACAAATTAACATATTAAACTTAATAGATACTTGACCTAATGGCTACTGGGTTCGAAACAAAACTAGAGCCTAACTTGCAGGAACCCAATGGCTGCTCAAACCTAGCAACTGTTGGGTTCCATTGACCCAACAACTGTTGGGTTTGAAATGAAACCCACCGCCTGTTGGGTTCGATTTCAAACCCAGCACTTGCAAAAACCTAACGGCTGTTAAGTTCAAAATTGAAAAATCGTACCCAGCGTCGAACCCAACACCTGTAGTAACCCAGAAACTGCCTTGCCTTGCCTTCTTCATCTTCATCAATCAATTTTTCATCACAATCAAACAACAAAATCCAAAAAACAAAAACATAATTTTTTTTTTTAAAAATTTTTTGCACCTGGGTTCGCAAGGAACCCAGGCGTGTTGGGTTTGTAGGAACCCAGACGCGAACCCAACACACTTGGGTTCCTTGCGAACCTAGGTGCTGGGTTCGTAAGGAACCCAGTGCCTGGGTGGGTTCGAAGGAACCTAGGCTTGTTGGGTTTCAAGGGGAAAGAAAAGGGAAAGGGGAAGGGGAAAGAAAAGGGAAAGGGAAAGGAGAAAGAAAAAAGAAAAAAAAAAAAGAAAAAAGAAAAAAAATTTAAGTTTTATTTTTCATAATATTTTTTTTATTTTATTATTTTTTCCACATCCTCACTTTTTGGTTATATTATCTTCCACGTGTATTACTATATGACATGTCATCTGGTAACCGTGAAGTAACAAGCCACGTCACACAATTTTTAACGGAAGGACCAAATCAAGGGAAAAATGGTAAACAGTAGGGATCAAATCAGGGATTTTTTTAGTTTAAAAACCAAATCGGGGGTCCGTACAATAGTTCAGGAACCAAAAAGGGGTTTTAACCTAAATTTATTTAATTATTTTAATTAGAGGAGGTTGATAAGTGTAATGAAATTTATTTAATTATTTTAATTATAGGAGGTTGATAAGTGTAATTAATTAATTTTAATTAATTTCAATTAAGGTTGAATCGATCATCCAATTAAGTTAATTATCTTAATTAATTAATTTCAATTCTCTATTTTTTTTATTCTTTTTCTAAAATCAAAAGTTATCTCTTTTAGTTCAATTTCGCACAAAACTTTCATGATTAAGCAATTTAATCTATGAGTCTCAACTCTTTTCAAATCAGTCCCCCATATTTTTGAATTTAATCAAATCAGTCCATTTAATTTTTATTTGTGTTTATTGTGCATGCATGTTCTTGATTTTGTCTATTTCAGTCTAAAATTAAAAAAAAATGTTTCAATTTGATTTATCTTTTTTTAAGTTTGCCTATTAAGACTCAAACATAAATATAATAAATAAATTGAATTAAAACCCCATTGTTAAAAATGCAATCGTGTTTAAATGGAGGATTGTGAGGTACGCGTATACCTTTCTTCACTCTTAACTGAACCCCCGAACTCCGATCTCTGTGCATAGTTGTTTTTAGGTGATTTATCGTTTTATCCCACCTTATAATTTGGACGAGTAACGACTCCATCTTTTTTATATTTTTACACTTAATTTTTCATTATTTTGAAATCTTAAGTGGTCGTCAACATTAATCTTAAGATAAAATCCAAAATCAACAAAGAGGAAGTACTTAATATCATTTTAATCAGAGTTTTTTTAATTTGTGCCCTTAACAACCTTTAAAAAATAAATAATAATATTTAATTTATCATTCCTCCAATTAAACTTGTCTAAATAACAATAATTCTAAAATTATTACCAAAATTTATATATTTTTTATATATATTTATGACAAAAAAACACTTTTAATCTTAACATGTGCCCTAAGGCACGAATTATAAAAACCCTTCTAATTAACACCGGCGTGCATATATTTATTACTATATTATTAGCCTGACCCAATCTCATTGAAAATTCCCAAAACTGTACCAAATGATGACAAAGTCATTATCATCCTTTTAGTTTTTTATAAATAATAATAAATGGTTTTTAAATTTATTTTAATTAAAAAAGTTAAGAGTATTTTTTGTCATAAACATATATTAAAAAATATAAAAATTTAAATTAATTTAATATTATTTTTAAATAAATAAATTTAATTAAATAATTAATAAATTAAAATTTAATTTTTATTTTTTAATATAAATTTATAATTAAAAAGTGTATTTATTATTAGATTAACTCATATTAAAAGTCCCTAACTCCAGAGAAAAGATCAACTATCATCCCCTTATCCCCCGCTTAACTACAGTTAATGAATGTCATTGTTAACGTACTTATTTTTTTATAACTTTATTCATATACTCAATATAATATTTATTTAGAGTTTAATCTTATAATTTTGTATAATAAATAAATGATAATTAAATATTTTTTATATAATTAAAAATA